AAAAACTTTAAATCAATTGAATCGCTTGTGTAACGATCTGCAAACTCGGGGCATACTCGGGACGGTCCCTCCTGTTGAAGAGGCTGCCGAAAATATAAAAAAAAATGCCGTAATGCCGTAATGCCGTAAATTGTCCCGAATTTAGGCACACATGTATATTTGTAATAATTTTCAAATATCGGGCCTCTATCTGTAATTATTTTTATTTTGGGCCCTTATTTGTAATTATTTTCGTTTTTGGGCCCTTATCTGTAAATTTCCCTTAATAATATTATTTAACTTTTTTGTAACACATTTACTTTAAATCGAATCAAGAAAAATCTACGTACTCGAATCAAAGATCATCAAATTTTTATACATTTAAAGTCTAGGGAACTTTGAAGTCAAAGACACATTCACGATGTCTTGCACTTCACAAGTTATACTGTCACCACAAACATCTCTTTTGCAAAAGCCTAATAGTGCATTTGTAAAACGCAAAATAATTATTATACTTTCAGTTTTGATTCTTATAAATATTACAGCATGGGTTGTTACAGCATTTGCGTTTCGAAATTTTCCATCGCTTTTAGGTACAGCGGCTTTAGCGTATACTTTGGGACTTCGACATGCAGTGGATGCGGACCATTTAGCAGCAATTGATAATGTAACTCGTAAGCTTATACAATATGGCAAATATTCAGTTTCTGTTGGACTTTTTTTTTCTCTTGGGCATTCTACAATTGTGATATGCGCATGCATTGCTATTGCTATAACAGCTACAGCAGTAAAAGAAAAATTTGGAGACCTTCAGTTAATAGGAGGGTTAATAGGAACTATTGTTTCTGCCACATTTTTATTTGTCATTGGAATAATAAATACATTTGTTTTAATTTCTGTCTATCGTTCACTCCAAAGATTAAAACGTACTGGTGTTTTTGAAGAAGAAAACATCGATTTAAATACATATGGATTCATTGGTAGACTATTCGCACCGTTATTCAAATTCATTGATTCAAGCTGGAAAATGTATCCTCTTGGAATTCTTTTTGGATTTGGCTTTGACACATCTACCGAAGTAGGATTATTGGGAATTGCAGCATTCCAAGCCAACCAAGGACTTCCAATTTGGATGATAATGTTTTTCCCATTACTTTTTACATCGGGAATGGCATTAATCGACACAGTTGATGGAATTTTAATGCTGGGAACTTACACTTGGGCATTTATAAATCCAATTCGAAAACTTTATTATAATTTTATTATCACGTTGCTTTCAGTTTTAATAGCATTTATAGTTGGGTTAATAGAACTTCTCAACATTATCGGAGATAAATTAGATCTTAAAGGTCCTTTTTGGAATTTTTTCGCATATCTTGGAGATAATTTTGGCATAATTGGTTATTTGATTATTTTATTATTTGTTCTTACATGGATAGTGGCAATAATTATTTACAAGTTTGGTGGCTATGAACATCTTGAAAGACAATTAATCCAACAGGATGACACACTTGATAATGATGACAATGCGAAAAGCGTGACGGGATCAGATAAAGACAATACCAATGTTCTGATGGGGACCGGTGCAGCTACAAGTAGTACAGAAAGTAATTTTGTATAACCTGCCAAATTAAGAGGACGTCTAAAGCGGAGATAAGCTATATAATTAATATTTGTCGGGATGATGCTGAAATCGGATGATGCTGAAATTTTGACTTATTGTATTATGAAAATGTAAAATTTTTTTGGGGTGTTTTGTTTAGCTTTTTTTTCATAGTTTGATTAGAATTTATGGTTAGTGTTTATTATAAAAGAGTATA